ACAAATATGAACGCTAAATTTGGCCAGTGTTTGCGACTAAGTGGCTACTAAAAAAGTCTGGACATACCCCATATTGAATACCCTGGGTTGTCTACTTTAAAAAAAATATGTACATGTGGGTGTTATTCAGAGATTTATGACAGATAATAGTGTTACAATGTCACTATTGATACATTTTAAAAATGTATGTTTTGAAACCGCAATATCCTACTTGTACTTATAGCCCTATAACATGCAAAAAAATTGCAAAAAAGAAGGTAAACACTGGGTATTTTTAAACTCAGAACAAAATTTTGAATCTATTTAGCAGTTTTTTTAATTCGCTTTTGTAGATGAGTAAAAGATTTTTCACGTAAAGGAAAAATTTTTTTTATTTTTTTCAATTTTTCATCATATTTTTTCATTTTTTTAAAATTAAACTACATGAGATTATATAAATAATGGTATGTAAAGAAAGCCCCTTTTGTCCTGAAAAAAACAATATATAATTTGTATGGGAACAGTAAATGAGAGAGTGGAAAATTACAGCTAAACACAAACACCACAAAAGTGTAAAAAGATGCCTGGTCGCAAATGTACAACATCACAAAAACAGTCCAGTCCTTAAGGGGTTAAAGGGTACAGCAAAAAAAAAAAAAAATATATATATATATATATATATATATATATATATATATATTAAGACCACATAAAAATTAGCAATAAGAAGTCCAATAAAATTCCAGAGGGGATGAAACAGTCCTAAAATTACATTTCAAATTTTCATATGAAGTTCTTGAAACAACTCCACTTAGTAGCAGTGTGCCATACCTGGAACTGCTGCATGGCACTTGCAGGCTCAGGAGGGTGTTGCACGGCAGCTGCGAAGATCCTGGTTCCTCGCCACTCTCACTGGAGTGAATGCTGCATTCCTGGATACCTTCAGCTTGGAGGTCATGCAGCGTTCTCTCCATGGAAGTGCAGACAGCTCTGCACTATCTGCGAGGTTGCTGGATTTCCATTGCAACCTCACGCCATCTACAGGCATCCTTTGAAATTACAGGACCTTGTAGGTGTTACACTTTATACTCACCTTTTAGTGATGTCATACTTGTTGGACATCTTGGTCTGCCCTGCACAGATTACACCCCTGTGTGTGTCCTGGTGCAGGGTGATCTTTATCAAGTGGAAGAAAACATAAACCTGCCAGCTTAACATATATAGGCTTCTAAATACATAAATTCCAAATTTGGCGCCAAAATTATGTCATTGTCACATGACTTTAATCCCAACAACAAAGTTAGCTAAAAACTAGAGAATAAGGTTCTTTTTATTGTAAGTATATTTCTTATCACTATTTATACTTACCTGTATGGATAGCACTATTGGCTTCCTTTCGCTATTTCATATGACTTATGCCACCACTACCTACCTGTGAAACTACCTTCAGAGGGATATATCCCGTAAGTGGGGATTTTATACCAGTGCATGCTGTTTTATCTAGAGCTGATTATAGCTCTATTATATGTGAGTTGGCATTGTTATACCTGAGTGTTGTCTGTGTGAAAGAATTATAAGTGTCAAGCTTATAGGTGTCATATTAGATATCCTATGTTATAATTGGCTAACTTGGACTCAGGAAATGCTTAATGCTTAAAACGACACCTGAGCTGTCTCTCCTAAATCAGTCTGTTCCTTCTCTTTCCCGGAACTTATCTGTTATATGTATATGACATTCATTCCCGTGTCTTATCTGTACTCCCTTCACCCTTTCACCCCCTTCCTACTACTGTGCTGTGAGTATTTGCACATAAGCACTTACTTTTTAATGTATAAAAACACAACTGACAACAAATTGTTTTTCAAAATAATTGTGGTATTTATGCATGAAATTGCACTGGTTGTTATGTTTTGCATTGGTATAAATATGTTTGATCAGCTAATAAAATACTGCAAAATGCTTTATCGTTTTCCTATTTGCATGAATTTATATGACTAGGTTTATTTAAATAAAAGTGAACAGGTCTCATTAGATCATTTCATTAAACATTTTGACCGTGTTCTCTGACATCTTCAAATATGGTTTTATTTTGTATCATTAGTTATGTTGTGAAACTTTCTGCACTCCTGCTAGTGTGAGGTCTTCCCTAGATCACTTCTTGCATAATCATGAAATATTTGATTTCCCACCTTGCTCTGAGATGAAACGCAATCTTGTTTCAAAATGTTTATGTTGGGTGCTTTGTAATTGTGCCAGCATGTGATAGAATATATAGTATTTTATTTTTGTGGCATGTAAATAAAATGTTTCTTTTTCGGTTATTTCTGTAAATGGTCTAATAATGTAGTCAGAAATTTACCACCATAACTCAAATACAATCATTTCCAAGTGACCACAGAGCACAGAATCTTGGCAGATAGTTGATAAAACACAAACATTGTTCACCCAGGTTAAGCAATCACGAATATTTAGTTAATGACAAAGAAACTAATTCGAAGCAATAAAACAGTTTTCTTAATAAATGTAATTTAATGAAATCTATTTAATATTTACACATAGTTATAGTGAAGACGAGAACGTGATGAACGATACATGTTATATTGTAATGGAGACAAAAGATGCAGTGATTTTTGAAGAGTTTCAGTATGATGTTATTGTGTTCTCGATCCAGCTGATGTAGTTGCAGACTTTTGTGTAGACACCAGGGTAGTCTCTCTGAGCACATCCCTTTCCAAAAGAGACCACACCATGAAGCTGTCCATCACATACTACAGGACCACCAGAGTCACCCTGATAGGAGAGAGAATTTAAAAAATAATCAGATTACATCACCTCTGATGATTACATCAAGATCAGGTAATCATTTAGTGATAATTATGTGAGGTAATTACATGAATATCCTGGGTTTGGTTCCCACAGGTAAATACAAAAACACAACTAGAGTATTATTAAAATGCTTGTTTTGAATTCCATCAAGATCAGGCCATCATTAGAAAATAAAATAACACATAGTGATTATTGTCTTGAAATGATAAAATATAAAATAATGAAATCAATGTGTCGGCTTGTCAGATATCTTTTAAACTGGAATACCTAAACCATTTTAATAGAGGGTGGTGTCAGGTGAAATCTAAGCTATAAAATATAGGAGCTGCTGGATCAGGAATGGTAAGATACATTACCTGGCAGGAATCCTTGCCACCTTCAATGAATCCAGCACAGAACATGTTACTGCTGAATCTCCATGGATAGGCTTTACTGCACTGGAAGGAGGGCAGTCAGACACTGCAGGAGACCTGGGTAATTTTCTAAATGAAATAAAAGCCTTAGTTGGTAAATCAGAAATGTGTTTGGTCATTTCTCACGAGACAACAATATGGAAAAAGTTTAACTTTTCTTATAAGGTATGACACAAATCACATTATAAGAAAAGTTCCAATTAAAAATAGTAATTTGGAAAACTAATTGTATAAAGTTTTCCAAATTACAGAATATAATTGAAAAATTCATACAATTAAGGATCTATTTTTACCATATACTGTACATTCCCATTTCAATGTCTGAATGTTAAAGTCACTATAAAGAAACCTATTCATTCAAATAGAATAAGGATCTAAGTAAAAACTTGACTAAGACCTTTGACTTACCTCCATCACTTAGTGTGTTTCCCCATCCAGCAATTAGACAGCTGGTACCAGCGTCAGCACAGCTAGAGGGCAGAGATATAGTATTCACATAGGAATTCAAGGTGGCGGGTGAGGCAAGCTTGATCAGCATGATGTCATTGTCAAACGTAAAATGATTGTAGTTGCTGTGTGTGATGACCTTGACAGAGCTTATGAACTGCTCTGTGCCCTCTCTCACAGCGATGTTGTGCTCACCCAGTCTAACATCAAAGCTTCTGCAAGAGTGAAAAGTAAGGCAATCAGATACACATTACTAGGGTTTTTAATAATTTTTAATAATTCTATGACACCACACGAAGACCTACTACCTGTATTTTTTTCCCATGCAGACATTGGCCTTGTTTAAATATTTTTGAATAAGCTTTTAAAATTAATCAATAATTTTCGATTAGGTTTTGATTTTTTTTTTTTAAACATTAAAATATTTAAAAAAATATATAAAATATATATATATCAATGTATCAAAATTATAAAATATTTTTCAAATCAATAAATCATTATAAATGTTTATCCAAAGATATTACTTTGAGGAATTGTCCTATACTTAATTTCTAATTTACTGTGCAAAATTAACCAGAACTGATTTATATTTACAATTGAATGCTTTTCAAAGACTCTTTTTTTGCTTTTGTAATTATAAAATAAGTTTCTATTAGGCCACCATATTTGTTATTCCTGTCTCTCAGGCCACAAGCAAGACATATTTTTACTTAATGTAAAATAATATTGGAAGGATCTAAGATCTAAGAATCCTTATATTTCCATGCTTTCTTGTATAATAGCCAATTTATTTGCCCACTATGACCTATTCTATTTATTGGAAATCATGTCAAACCTTTACCCGATACAGCATTACAAGCAGGTTCTAAAATGTGTATCACTAAATCTTTGATTTATTTTCAAATATTTTAATTTTTTATAAAGAAAGATACTATATACTGTATTGTGCCTAATTCATACTCCCACTGTCCACAGCTGCATTTGAGGATGATGATGATGATAAGATTGTAGGAGGTTACACCTGCACCAAGAACTCCGTCCCATACATTGTATTACTGAACATCGGTTACCATGATTGAGGAGGTTCTCTGATTACCAGCCAGTGGGTGCTCTCTGCTGCTCATTGCAACAGATCGTAAGTATGTTTTATCTCTAGAGGAAAACACAATTTGACATCTGTCTGGAGAAGAGTTTCCTATTTTAGAAATCAGGCTGGCTGGGAAGCTTAAAAGATTAAAATGTCATAGAAAGGTTATGTTAACATGTTATGTTAACCTCCATTCCCTCTGGCAGGAGCTTTCAGGTCAGACTGGGAGAGCACAACATCGCTGTGAGTGAGGGCACTGAGCAGTTCATTAACTCTTCCAAGGTCATCAAACATCCCAACTACAACTCCAGGAGCCCAGATACTGATATTATGCTGATCAAACTTGCCTCCCCAGCTACCCTCAACTCTTATGTCAAGACTGTGCCTCTGCCTTCCAGCTGTGCCTCTGCCGGCACTCGCTGCTTGATAGCTGGCTGGGGAAACACGATCAGCAATTGAAGTGAGTAATAACAGGAAAAATGGATGTGCAGGAAATAATAATAATTAGGAGAAGAATGAAAATATTTCCTATGATGAATATTTGCTGTATTTTGGCGCATTAGTATTGAGTAGTAATATATATTAATATATGCTTGAATTGTATCCAGAACTAATTGACATACACTATTTATTAACTGCGGATAATAACCAACAAATCTAGTCTGATCCCTACAAACAGATAATGGAGATACAAATTGTTTTTTCTCTCATAGTGCACTTATTATTAAGACAGATATAGGACATTTTCTTATCTCATCAGCCAATCCATACAGTCTCTATTTAATGAAGCATACGCAGCTCTCCAGTCATTTAACTCATGGATCCACACTATATCTTTGACCAATGGCTAAAATTGTTTATTTTAAGTTTTAAATCTGACTTGTAAGACAATATTTACAATTAACTAAAACTTGTTTTATTTTATCAAATTACTCAGATCTCCTGCAGTGTCTCGATGCCCCCATTCTGACCACTAGAGAGTGCAGCATTTCCTGCCCTGGGAAAATCACTGGTAACATGTTCTGTGCTGGTTTCACTAAAGGTGGCAAGGATACTTGCCAGGTAATGTATCCAGCCATGACTCTAAATATTCAACATGTAGATACAGTAGTCAGTATATGTACATGAATTAAGATATTTCTATACTTGTAGATTTATGGTGATTAATATACCCAAATCTAACTGTATGTGTCATATTCTCCCAGGGTGACTCTGGTGGCCCCGTGATCTGCAATGGCCAGCTCCAGGGTGTGGCCTCCTGGGGAATTGGCTGGGCTCTGAGAAATTATCCTGGAGTCTACACCAAGGTCTGCAACGATATCGACTGGATCCAGAACACCATCGTTTCAAACTAAAACGTATCAAGAATTTCCTCTTTATGTTTTTATTATTTAAAACAAAGTTCAAACAAACTCTGTTGTAGAGTCTAACTAACAAACTGGTATTTTTACTATTTTTGAAATAAATTGAAGATGTTTGGGATAAAGGTTTTTCTGAGGAAATATTGGTCCAGTGTAGGGATCAAAAGAACATTTGTCCTTTTGTAATAAAATATGCTAGATTTATTTTTTTAATTTCAAGCTAATAAAAAAGAAATATATTTAGTTGTCGCACAATTTTTTATATAATCAGAGCTTGACCCACATGGGTTTTTGAGATAATGGTTAAAATATGCTAATTAACTAAATGGAGACTTGTTCTCCACACAGTGAATGTAATTTACATGGTAAACTTTACAAATACCTAATTACATAGTACAAAGCAAAAATGTAATTTTTGTGATATAAAAGTCATATTTGAGAACAATATTATATAGTAATGTCTAATAATCTGTGAAGAAGTCCTGTAAAGGCCACAAAATGCATTAGACAATTCCTATGGATGTCTCAAGTGTCCCCTAGTGAGCATTTCAGCTATACAGACAAGTGACATAAAATAAGAAGAGTACATGTGGAAAGAAAACATATATATCTATTTGTGTTAGGTGCTTAAGATAGTACAGTGTGAAATACCATGAATAAGCGGAGGATGGTAAAAGGAGCAAGTCGATTGTGGTGGGCCGAAACCGACGATGAGGTAGGCCTGAGAAAGAAGAGGGCCCACCCAGGAAAAGAAATAGAAAGGAAATAAATGTTAAAAGTGGTGTGGTGGGAGGGTCATTCAACGCTGACCTCGAACGGTAAGGAGCAAGGTAAGGGGAGTGCCTTAAGTAGGCTAGGGGTAGCAAACCAGCACCTCCCACAAATGCAGGCAAATTGCCTTAATACTTGTGTTAGGTGCTTAAGATAGTACAGTGTGAAATACCATGAATAAGCGGAGGATGGTAAAAGGAGCAAGTCGGTTGTGGTGCGCCGAAACCGACGATGAGGTAGGCCTGAGAAAGAAGAGGGCCCACCCAGGAAAAGAAATAGAAAGGAAATAAATGTTAAAAGTGGTGTGGTGGGAGGGTCATTCAACGCTGACCTCGAACGGTAAGGAGCAAGGTAAGGGGAGTGCCTTAAGTAGGCTAGAACCAGCACCTCCCACAAATGCAGGCAAATTGCCTTAATACTTGTGTTAGGTGCTTAAGATAGTACAGTGTGAAATACCATGAATAAGCGTAGGATGGTAAAAGGAGCAAGTCGGTTGTGGTGTGCCGAAACCGACGATGAGGTAGGCCTGAGAAAGAAGAGGGCCCACCCAGGAAAAGAAATAAATGTTAAAAGTGGTGTGGTGGGAGGGTCATTCAACGCTGACCTCGAACGGTAAGGAGCAAGGTAAGGGGAGTGCCTTAAGTAGGCTAGGGGTAGCAAACCAGCACCTCCCACAAATGCAGGCAAATTGCCTTAATACTTGTGTTAGGTGCTTAAGATAGTACAGTGTGAAATGCCATGAATAAGCGGAGGATGGTAAAAGGAGCAAGTCGGTTGTGGTGTGCCGAAACCGACGATTAGGTAGGCCTGATAAAGAAGAGGGCCCACCCAGGAAAAGAAATAGAAAGGAAATAAATGTTAAAAGTGGTGTGGTGGGAGGGTCATTCAACGCTGACCTCGAACGGTAAGGAGCCAGGCAAGGGGAGTGCCTTAAGTAGGCTAGGGGTAGCAAACCAGCACCTCCCACAAATGCAGGCAAATTGCCTTAATACTTGTGTTAGGTGCTTAAGATAGTACAGTGTGAAATACCATGAATAAGCGTAGGATGATAAAAGGAGCAAGTCGGTTGTGGTGTGCCGAAACCGACGATGAGGTAGGCCTGAGAAAGAAGAGGGCAAAAATTAAGTAATCAAATTTATTAACAGACAACCAATACATTTACATTTTATCAACCAGACATGTTTATGAAAGCATCCCTTAATTCTTGTACTGGGTTCGGTATGTACCGTGAGTAAGCGGATGACTTCCAGCGCCCCAGTGTTTTGATAACATGAGTTGGGATGTTGACACTGGAGGCTGTGGACGCGGCTCCTATACGAAAGGAGTGTCCTGAGTATTTGTTTGCGTTGAGGCCCAGTTGTGTGAGCAAGGACCTGACGTAGGTCATGAAGGTTGTAGTGGTGAGTACTGCACCTTGTAGTTGTAATAACGGTTGCGAGGGCAGTAAGTGATGGTGCTGTATGTAGGCATCAAGAACCTTGACGGGACACCATCTGTTGTGCGTGGGATAGTACGGAATGTTTACAGGTATGTGCTGACTGGTTTTGGAGTGAGGTAAAGACAGGATGTAATGATCCATATGTTTTGTCAAGTGGGAATAGAGGAGGAATGGAGTGGTTTGGGTCGTGGAGGTCGTAGTGAATTCTCTGGGTCGTAGAAATCCATAGAAAGCGATGTATATTGCTGTTTTGATGATAGAATTTGTATTAGTGTCAAACGGTTTTAGGTCAAGTAGGTTAGATAATGCTTTGAAGATATGGTTATCTATGGGTAGCCTCTGGGCCAAATGTGTGGGTTCTGATTTTTGAATACCTCTGAGTATGGTCTTAATTTGGTGAGAGGCCATGAAACTGTTGTTATTTGGGTGTAAGATGAGCATGTGGTGTTGAATGCCAGTGAGACAGAGTTTGATGGTGTTGTATGACATTTTGAGTTTAAGGTGGCAAAAGGAAGCAAACCCCAAAAAAGATGTCATGACAAACGGTTGTATGATGTTATGTTCCAGAAGGAATCGTTTGAATAGTGTGAAAGCTCTGCTGTATGTTTTGTTTGTATTGTTTGAAAGTGCCAACTGGGACAATGTCCTGCTATGCTGCATGATGACGTCTAGTCCAGTATGAGTTGTTGAAATGTTGGAGTGATGGTGGCTGTGGGTGCTGCTGACGGGAGTGCTTGATGAAACTCCTGAAATTTAAAGCGATACAAATTGTCAGCAGCTGTGTTATATACACCTGGCACATGGAAACAACATAGGAAGAAATTATGACAAGCTGCCAACCAAGTGAGTTTCCTCAGAAATCTCATGATTGTAAGATGATGTGACAGGTTGCCTGGTTGTCTGAGTAACAACGCACTGGCATATTAGCCCATAAATGACCCCACGCTACTGCAGCCGCCACTATGGGGTAGATCTCAAAAAGAGCTGAGGTAGTGGAAAAACCTTCCAAATCCTGAACTGCCGAAGGCCAGCTGCCCCAAAGCCATTTGTTCCCAAAAATTGCTGCAAAACCAGTGGTAGATGCCGCATCTGACCAAATGGTAGGAGATGATTCAGTCAATTGAGGGAGGAACATACTTTTACCATTCCAAGTGGTTAAAAATCTCTTCCACATGTTTAGATCTGCCGTAGCTTGGGCATCTAAGGACAACCTGTGCGTGTCATGTAGAAAAAGTGGGAGAAGATGCAATAGTCGTGAAATAAATTAGCGGCCTTGAGGTATGATGCGCATCGCAAAATTTAGTGACCCTAGCAGGGACTGTAGCTCTTTGCGGTTGCAAGTGCCGAGCTGTAGGTAGTTGTTTATGTAAGTGAGAATATTCTCTATCTTATCGTATGGTAGGCTTGCTTGCATTGTGGCAGAGTCTAATTGGATACCCAGAAAAGTGATAACCGTGTCTGGCCCTTCTGTTTTCTTTGGGGAGATGGGTACACCTAGTTGCTCAAACAGCTTAGTGGTAGCTTTGAGGCTAGTGGGAGGTGAAGTATTCTCCTCGACCAGTAGGAAATCGTCCAAGTAATGTAATACCGTAGGGCATCCGGCTATGTTCAATAGTAACCAGCATAATGCTTCAGCAAATGTGTCAAAATAGCTGGGCTACTTTTGGACCCAAAAGTTAACCGGGAGAAAAAATAGTAGTTCCCGGACCACTTGATGCCATGCAGGTGCCACAGTGTGGGGTGGATAGGGAGTAATTTGAAGGCGTTAGTAATGTCGGTCTTACTGAGCCAGGCTCCAACCCCTGCTTGTATGATAGCTGTAATGGCGTGATCTATGGTGGTGTATTGCAGAGAGAATTCCTCAGAGGGTATGAGGGAATTAAGACTGGG